TATAATTTATATATTATATATTTTATTATATTTGATTATATACTATATTATATATATATATATGTACATGATCTCTCGCCTAACCATATATCTATGGTATAAATCATGTGATTTCTGGCACTCCCCTTATTGCCTCCATATATTAAGTATGAACAATTATAATATTGCCAGCAGTATGTCTAGACTTACACGGTTTTAAAAATTCATTGTTTCAACAATCGTAAATATCTAAAATCATGTAAGATAAAAAAAAACAATAAAAATAAAATTAATAATAATACTGTATAAATTGCAGAAGTTATATAAAGTCTCTCTTGTCTTCCTTTTCTCATCCATCAATTTACTTGTTCTCAAATAAATATTACATTTTAAATTATGTCTACAACACCCTACTTGATTACTGATTCCTCTGCTGAATCTTCTGAAGACATTCAACATCCCCTTCATGTAACAAATTTTGATACTGAAAATAATATTGAACTCAAAGGCTCTATCAATTCTAGTTCTAAAAATTCTAATAAACATGATCATTATGAGCATGCTGCTAAAAGTGGTTGCTCTAAGAAAAGATGCTTAAGAATTAGAAGAAAGCTTGATCTGGTTCGTGAATATATTGATAAATTAAGCGACGAACTTAGTGATGAAGCCTTTAAAGTTTGCAAAATATACAAGAGTAAATGGACTGAAAGAACATCGATTTCAACTATAAAATACCATTTTCAAAAAAAACATCTACTTATCTTTAAAGATATTCAAAAAGACTCAAGTAATCGTCCTTTGTTTTATTCAACTACTATACCTACTGAAACAAATCGTATTGTGTTTTTAACTAATAATCTATTAAAATAGATCATTATTAAACAACTACCTTTTTCAACGGTCAAAGCAGATTCATTTATCAAATTAGTTAATAATCTTGATTCACGTTATGAGCTGCCTAATCGTTAAACGATTTCTACACATATAAAAAAATATTTTGATTTGGAAAGTTTAAAAGTAAAAGAAATTTTAAAGGCAAATATAAGTAAATTGGCACTTACTCTTGATGTTTGGACTGCGTGTAATCAACAAACGTTTCTCGATATTACCGTCTATTGGATAAATAATGAATAGAATTTAAAGACTCTTCTTCTTGACTTTATTCTATTACATCACGTCCATACTGGTGAATATTTTGGTAGGAATGTTCTTGAACTCCTTAACAATTTTAAAATCAAAGATAAAGTAATTGGTTTCACTGGTAACAATGCGTCTAATAATATGACATGTTTAAATTATCTTAAAAAATTTGTAAGCCTCAACTTTATGTATATTCGTTGCGCAGCATATATTATTAATCTTGTAGTCAAGGAAGGCCAAAAAAATTACCTTGACCAAATTAAAAAAGCCCATAATTTCTGTAAAAAATTAAAAAAATCGCCATTACTTTTAGGAGAAATGGAAAGAATTTCGACTATCTTACAAAAACCATTCCTTCATCTCAAAATTGATGTAGATATGAGGTAAAATTCTACCTACTTGATGCTTAAACAACTGGTTGAAATCTAATCTGTCACTGACAGCCTTGTTCAATCTCGTCCAGATATAAAAGATGATTATTTAGAACTTAATGATTGGAAAATTATAAAAGAAATGATACAATTTCTTGAGCCTTTTTATAAGGCGACTTTAGTTTTATTAAGTGCCTTACAATCTTCCTACGGCTCTTTACGAATCATCATCCAAGATCTCTTCTCGCATCTTAATAATTATATTAGGCATGATACATATCAAGAAATAGTCAAAAAAATGAAAAATAAATTAAATGAATATTGGGTTTACCTTTCTCAATCTTTAGCTATCTTCACATTTCTTGATCCGTCAACAAAGTTTGAAGCTTTCTATGATACTGATCGTAAATTATCTATTGGCCAATTAAAAGATATTTATTTATTATATAATAATAGGTTAGTATCAAATAACTCAGAAATAATCTCTAAATCTAAAGATCTCTTAGGTGTTTTTAGAAATCTTATATACACGAGCGAAGGTAACAGAAATGAAATAGAAGAAGGAAATAAGCTATCTATATATCTTTCTTTATCTTGTGAAAAAGGTGTAGATCTACTCCTGTGGTGAAAAATTAATACTTTTCATTTTCCTACTATAGCACACATGGCGGCAGATTATTTGGCTCTTCAAATTACTAGTGTTCCTTGTGAGAGAACTTTCTCTATCGCAAAGAACACTATTGATCTTATTAGAAATCATCTCCTTGATCAAACAGTAAGAGCTTCATTATGTCTAAAAAGCTGGTTAGAATCAGAAACTATAGAATAGAATAGAATAGTTTAGATAGAATAGAAAAAAAAAATCTATGTATCTTTTCGTTCAATTTTTTTTATTATTAAATAAATATTTATATTATCTAATTATCATTATTTTTATCGTTATCGTAATCTTTATCCTGATTTTGTACAACTCCACGTGATTAAAAACTCAAGTCTAAGTCTGGTACTGACTCGACTTCTGAAGTCAGATCAGTTCAGACAGATCATTTAACATTCCTATACACGGGATGTTTAAATACTTGTTACACAAAACAAGTAGAAAATCAACATATGCACCATGCAGATCATTTTTTGTACAACAAAAATAAAGAAAAAAATGAAAAATTAATATCTTAAAATTTTAATTATAAACCATCTTTTGGGCTTTAAGAAAAAAAATTTCTTGCAAAATTTTACTATAAACTGTTTTTTACAAACTCTAACCTCTAACCTTAACTCTAATATTAATTAAAATTATTATTGCTTGTATTTTTAATAAAAATTCATTATAGATCGTTCCCGTGTTTCGTAATTCCCAAACTTTAAATATAATTTATACAAATTTGAAATTTACCAATCCCCTTTTTTGTTGTGAGTGGTCCCCTATAGCGAAGTTTATACATTTAATTAATAATTCTTTTCACATGAATTTCAGCTACATAAATATGACGAACATATTATCATGATAAATTATATCAAATGGTGAAAATAGTAAATTTTCATGGTGGAAATAGACATTCCCTAAATTAATAGTTATAATAAAATTCTTTAAAGTCAAAACTTACATTGAACATAATTGTCTTACTAATTTTTTTTTAAAATTTCGTGATTATTCATATATCCTAATACTGTATAATTAAACGTAACAATAATAATAAGCGGTAAAGTATTTGTCTTCTAAGCAAATTAAATCAAAAGCATGATTATTTTGCGTAGTAGATATTGACATTATCTGTCATTTTAAAGTTATAAATGGCTTCTGCGATGATTTTCTATTAGTGAAACAAATACAGTAAATAATTCGGGTAATTGAATTTCATCGACCATTTTGACGAATATCCTTCTATAAGAATCGATGTAAATTAATCATATGAAAATCTTCCTGTAACCTATTGCTATATAAAGCCCTTGAATATCCGCCGGTCATAGATTTCTGCATGCCGGGCTAAGGTATCAAGCTCTGAGCCCTAGGGTAAGGGTAAGGGTTTGGGGAGTCAAGCCCTTACACTGCGGGTAGGGTATTGGCAGGTAGATTAGTCATGTCACAAAAAAATGGCGGTGACGTGATCTACAAGCCATTCAGACTATATTCCTAAATTCAGATTATTTATTTTAAAACTTATTATTCGGGATCTAAAAAAGTTCTTACGAATGTTTGTAAAAACATTTTTTTTATCCCGAATTATAAGTATAAAATTAATAGCCCGAATACAGAAATATAGTTTGAGTGGCATTTAGATCACGTCACTGCCATTTTTTTGTGACATGACTATTACATAAATCTGCAGGCTCGCATGCTGCGCAGCCTGCGCAGTAGATTCAAAAAATGTCCGATCTGCCCATCCCTAGTTGAATCTCATTATTGTCAAATAACAATAATAGATTGTATAAATTCTCATTTCCAATCAAGGAGCATAGAATAAACCGCTGCCACCTTATAAATGCTCATATTAAATTGTAAATGACATTCATTCCAAAAGTATTTTAATCAACTTTTCTGTTTAGTACTGTAGTCATGGTGATACATTCATATTACAGAACAATATTGTTACAACCAATTATCGTTAAAATTAAACTTTAATTCTACGGAAAAACATTTAACACGAACCAACTACGTTTGGTGTAAAAAAAAACCCCTAGATTATGTCATTCACAAATGGATTTAACCATGCATTACATAATTGTCTCATCCTATATACTTTTTATCCAAAAGAAAATTATAAAAGACCAAGGTTTCGAACGATGTAGACTTTAAAGAATTTCGACATGTAAATTGTCCTATAGATTCTTTTTTCCACTTAATCCCTGTAAATTTTCGTCAATTAAGTTTACCAGTTTAATTTCTACAAAAAAAAAAAATTACTTTAAAAATAATTTAATATTATAGCATAGCATACAACTATACAAAGCATACAAAACACACATAGCATATATACATAATTATTAGTAATTTAGTAGTTACGAAAAAAATGACACAAAATCAATCCCCATCAAATGATGAAGTAGATCTTGAACATCAAGCAACGTTAGTATCAGATGCGACTGTAGCCATAAAAACTATAAAAAATGTCGATAATCAAATTATTAATGACAATAGCTCGCCATCATCTAATGGTACTTTATTACATGGAGTTGAATTATTTTTAGTTGTTCTTGGGTTCGTAGAGATTAATTCTTGTTCTCATTATATGATCAAATTATTAATTTAGTTTTACTAATCATATTATAGTCTAGGATGTGCTGTATTTTTAGCCGCCTTAGATCAAACAATAGTTTCCACCGCTTTACCTAACATAGTTTCAGATTTTAATGGATTGGATCAAATCGCGTGGGTTGCAACTTCTTATCTACTCACAACGGTAATAAAATTTGATTCCGCTTCGTTCGAATTACATATATCTCATGTGACGCTCACGTGAATCATGTTATCGACACAGACTTCCTTTCAACCAATCTATGGAAAATTATCTGATATTTTTGGTCGTAAAGCAACATTCTTAGGTGCAATTACCATCTTTGAATTAGGCAGTTTGTTATGTGGTGTTGCCACTAATATGGTAATATACAATATCTTTTATTTTTCATTTCTCAATTCTTAATTTTAATATTCATCATTTTTTATTTTTTATTTTTTTGAAGGTTTCAATGATAATATTCCGTGCAATCGCTGGTATTGGAGGTGGTGGAATCATTGGGTGCGTACTTCATTACTGTATCGATTTATATCAAATTTTTATGCATGCTAAATTTTTTACTGTTTATTTTTCTTTTTTTTTTAGTCTCGTCTTAATTATAATTACAGATATTGTTAGCTCTAAAGATCAGGGAAAATACCAGGGTATTGTTAGCGCATGCTTTGGTGTTGCTTCCGTAGCAGGCCCTCTTTTGGGTGGTGCTTTTACTGATCATGTCAGTTGGAGGTACGCATATCAAGGGTGATTTCCCTATTTGGTGCAAAAACGTTAATTATTATCGTTTTAACATTAAATTATGTTAATCGTAAAACTCACCACCAAATTTATTTTCCCAAAAAAATAGATGGTGTTTTTTCATTAATCTTCCATTAGGTGCAATAACAATAATCGGTGTAGTTAGGTTTCTTCATTTACCAAAACCACCTGGTTCATTACTTAATAAAATTAAAAGAGTTGATATTATCGGCACCATTGTAATGATCTCGTCAACTGTTTGTATCTTATTACCTCTTAATTGGGGCGGTAGCACTTATCCTTGGAATAGTCCCGTGGTTATAATACCTTTATGTGTCGGTGCAATCGGTTACATAATATTCGGTCTTGTTGAGAATTATATCGTTACTGAACCAGTTGCTCCACGTAAGTATTCATGGCTTGATTTATTTGCAAGAATTATATTAATTAATCTATTATAATTTTGGTACTAAAAATTTTTTTCTGTTTAATAGCACATTTATTTACAAATCTTAATGTAGTTTCATGCTTCCTCACAAGCTTGTTCCAAGGAATGGTATTCTTTAGTTATATTTTTTATATACCACTTTACTTCCAAGTTGTAAAAGGTGATTCAGGCAAGTATATCTATCAATTAAATCTCATATTCCTCGTTAAACATCAAATAAATTTAACAACCTTACGTTTCTTTTAAACAGCTACACAATCCGGATTAGAGTTCATGCCTTACATTCTTGGTGTGGTAGTTTTCCTAATCCTAACCGGTCAACTATTCTCTCGAACAGACAAAATACAGTTTCGATTAGTGACTCTAATTGCTTCGGCATTGGCAATAATCAGTGCTGGATTACTCATTATGTGGAGGGAAAATACTGGTTATGGTGAATATATAGGATACATGTTAATTGGTGGTATTGGGATGGGTGCAAGCATTCAGGCTGTTACATTAGGCGTTCAAGGATTGGTTGAGCCGAAGGATATAGCTTCGGCTACTACATTATCATTATTCTTTAGGAGCAGTAAGTATTCAAAAAAAAAGTTTAGTTTTTATAGCAAAATTATTAAATTATTTTACTAATTCATTATCTGTATTGTTCTCTTTAGTTGGGGCTGTTTTTGGAATTGCAATAGCAGGAACAGCATTTAATAATAGACTTTCTCAAGAATTAAGTACTTTAACTTTACCTCCATCTTTTTCAACACAATCTGTATATACTATACAATCATTACCACCAGATACACGGCTATTAGTCATTCACGCTTATGTGTTAGCATTTCAATTCACCTTTGTGCTTTTCACAATATTTAGTGCGTTAATGTTTATTTCAGCGTTGTTTATGGGAAATAGTAAACCAATACATAAGGATGGAGAAAAAATGATTTCTGCATTTGAATAATTTAATTATTTAACAAAAACGTTTAGTTAAATAAAAATATCACATGCAATTAAAAAATTTTAGAAAAATAATTGGAAATAGTTATTGTACGAATTATAATTTTAGTTTATTTTTGTTCTAACATATATTTTAGTCGGTAACTTTTCCGCTTGTACATGGTTTATTAGTAATTCCCATCCATTTTGGTAACAATGTCCAATTTTAGTAGATTTATTAATTTCTACTAAAATGGTAATGATGGATTGGCTTGGTGGCTTAATCATATGAATGCTACTCAAGGCGCGTAGAACGCGACAGTGGGTACGTAAACGTAGCCGTTTGAACCGGTTACAATAGGTTACTTGCATAATCACAAGGAAAAAGCTTAGAAGTGGGGGAGTAAACGTCCCCATGGCTAAGTAAACGCAGCTATGGTTGCGTAGACGTAACGAAAGCAGTGTAAACGTAGCCGTTGGAGTATAAACGTAACCAAAATCTAAAATATATTTATAAGACCAACTGAACCAAGCAATAAAGCAGAACTTTCCATTTCATCATTGATATCATCTTTCCTTCAATAATTAAATAAATAAATCTCTCGCTCTATTCCGATTGAATAAATGCTTATCTGAATATTCCCTTGTGTATTGTCTTTTGAATTCGACTTGTAACTTTAATGAACCTTTTCGCGCCTCAATTTGAATGACTGAATTGACTTGCAACTTCGATTTGGCTTATTAAGACTCGGACTCTAGAACGGTTGTGGAATCAGATATTGCCATTCACATTAGAGACTTACGATCGGTTACTAAACTTGGTTAATCCCTAACGTGTTCTTAAAGTCCTTAAAGTTACCGCTGATATCACTTGATCATCGTCCGCTTTTACCTCACCATCCTTATTGAGATCTCCCTAACAGCACCACCGTAGTTGCATCACCCCCTATTCATATTAAAACTTTCGTTTCATTTTTTTTTTTTTTTTTTTTTTTTTTTAAGAGTGAGGCCTGGCCACGGTCTTTATTGAATAATTATGCGTTACATTATATAAATGGGCTACATGAATTATTACAGGGACCTACAGCTAGGACTAATTTATCCTCGGCCTAAAGCTCTACTAGAGTGGGCTACTCGGCCTCCACTAGATTTAGTTTAACTATTTATAATGTAGATATGTTAGTTGTGGGGAACAAAGTTTCCCATTTGTTATATTTAGCTGTACTAATGTGATGTGTAGGAGGGTGAGTCAGGGTTATAACAGTGTATGTATCCGTGAGAGGTCTATTCTGATGTATACTTTTACAGCAAACTAGCCATATTTGTTTATATATGTTGGTAGATATCTTGTGCAAGATTTTGATGAATGTTTTGTTGTGGTTTGAAGTGGTAGTCTGGATGTCCTCTGGAATTAATCCTTTTAGTAGTGAGGTATCACTAGTCAAAGTAACTAAAATTAGCAATACTTTGGATAACAATTATCTTGGTAAAAAGGCTTCTGAATATATATTAAATAGTCATTTTTTATTCAATTCGGCTAGCTGAATATCTGCTGGCATATGTTGGCATTCTGCCAGACTTCAGCATATATGAATAATAATATTTGGCAATATGTATATTATTAGGGATTCGGCAATTCTTATTATTATAAATTCAGATTAGCTAAATAGTTATTAATAAATAAAAGATCTTAGACTGAATACTTGTTGAAAATTTAGCTGAATATTTATTAAAAATAATTGAACTGGCTGAATATACTCTGATAATTAGATAAATATAGATCAAGTGTAGTAAAACTGTATAATTAAACACTGCTAAATACTTGCTAATATATAAATGATTTTGGTCGAATTTAACAAATTTATAGATTCAGCTTGACATAATGCTTTCTAATACATAAAAAGTTACTTATTCAGATCATTCAAATATAAGTTATATATTAATTATTTTTTTTTTAGCATATGAAATTTGCATGTTGTAATAAGTTAAAATAGTGCATTAAATAAAACTATTTTATGCAAATATGTAAATTATTGCTTTTTTTTAAATATTTTTTCAAACGAATTTGAAATGCTATTAATTTTTTTTTTTTGTTTTATTAGTTTTAACTCCTTGATTTGGCTTTTTATAATCTTTTCTACTAGATGTTGGTTTCATGTTTGACGTAGAACCTTAATGTGAAGTAGCTTTTGGTATGCGGAATAATTTTGCCCCTTGAAAATTCTTTTGATTTCTATGATCAATATTAATGCTTTTGCCTTTTGGTTGTGCTGCTGTGGTTGCTAAAGTAATAAAAAGTTCAGTATCATTCGTCTCATCTGTGTGTCTGACTCATCACTTTCATTGATATCTAAATTTGGAAGTTTTATTTCTGACCAATCTTGAGATGCCCATTTTCGCCAACATTTCATATAGTCTTTGTCTTCTATATCTTTAGGAAGTACAACTGACTGTAAAGAAACACATAGTAGCTTAACAACTTGATAGTTGCTAGATGACAATTTTGAATCAGGAAAGTTCCAAGCTAAAAAATTTTGTTTTTCTCAATTAATCCCTTTTGAAAGATGGTTCATGCTAGTTCACTAATTATCCAATCTTTTGTTTCTGGTGGTGGTTCACAATCAAAACGAACAGCAAAGTAACCTTCACTGATCATTTTATATCTTTCTCATTCAGGTTGTTTTGCAGTTGAAAGACAGCTAATAGATGTATCAAATACTTTTCGAAATAAACGAGTTACCTAATATAGATATAAAATTTTAAAAATTTACTGTAAATATTAAACAATTACAGAGTAATTCAATAATAATTTTAAGAGATAGATTATAATCATGATTATTCATGCATAAATTTTAATTTATGCATAATAATATTAATTATTCTGTTAAAGATAAAGTCAGAACTTTCACTTACTTTAAAACCTCGATACTATAGTAATACACTAAAATAATTGTGCTAACTATAGGCTTTTTGCCTGAAGAAACTAGTTCTTCACTGGATCTGGACAAACTATCACATTATTTAAATCATCATTTTGTACATTACCAAGACTGTTCAATAACTACTCCATCTTCTGTAAATTTATATCTGTTATCTTTATATTTAACAGAATAATTAATATTATTATGCATAAATTAAAATTTATGCATGAATAATCATGATTATAATCTATCTCTTAAAATTATTATTGAATTACTCTGTAATTGTTTAATATTTACAGTAAATTTTTAAAATTTTATATCTATATTAGGTAACTCGTTTATTTCGAAAAGTATTTGATACATCTATTAGCTGTCTTTCAACTGCAAAACAACCTGAATGAGAAAGATATAAAATGATCAGTGAAGGTTACTTTGCTGTTCGTTTTGATTGTGAACCACCACCAGAAACAAAAGATTGGATAATTAGTGAACTAGCATGAACCATCTTTCAAAAGGGATTAATTGAGAAAAACAAAATTTTTTAGCTTGGAACTTTCCTGATTCAAAATTGTCATCTAGCAACTATCAAGTTGTTAAGCTACTATGTGTTTCTTTACAGTCAGTTGTACTTCCTAAAGATATAGAAGACAAAGACTATATGAAATGTTGGCGAAAATGGGCATCTCAAGATTGGTCAGAAATAAAACTTCCAAATTTAGATATCAATGAAAGTGATGAGTCAGACACACAGATGAGACGAATGATACTGAACTTTTTATTACTTTAGCAACCACAGCAGCACAACCAAAAGGCAAAAGCATTAATATTGATCATAGAAATCAAAAGAATTTTCAAGGGGCAAAATTATTCCGCATACCAAAAGCTACTTCACATTAAGGTTCTACGTCAAACATGAAACCAACATCTAGTAGAAAAGATTATAAAAAGCCAAATCAAGGAGTTAAAACTAATAAAACAAAAAAAAAAAATTAATAGCATTTCAAATTCGTTTGAAAAAATATTTAAAAAAAAGCAATAATTTACATATTTGCATAAAATAGTTTTATTTAATGCACTATTTTAACTTATTACAACATGCAAATTTCATATGCTAAAAAAAAAATAATTAATATATAACTTATATTTGAATGATCTGAATAAGTAACTTTTTATGTATTAGAAAGCATTATGTCAAGCTGAATCTATAAATTTGTTAAATTCGACCAAAATCATTTATATATTAGCAAGTATTTAGCAGTGTTTAATTATACAGTTTTACTACACTTGATCTATATTTATCTAATTATCAGAGTATATTCAGCCAGTTCAATTATTTTTAATAAATATTCAGCTAAATTTTCAACAAGTATTCAGTCTAAGATCTTTTATTTATTAATAACTATTTAGCTAATCTGAATTTATAATAATAAGAATTGCCGAATCCCTAATAATATACATATTGCCAAATATTATTATTCATATATGCTGAAGTCTGGCAGAATGCCAACATATGCCAGCAGATATTCAGCTAGCCGAATTGAATAAAAAATGACTATTTAATATATATTCAGAAGCCTTTTTACCAAGATAATTGTTATCCAAAGTATTGCTAATTTTAGTTACTTTGACTAGTGATACCTCACTACTAAAAGGATTAATTCCAGAGGACATCCAGACTACCACTTCAAACCACAACAAAACATTCATCAAAATCTTGCACAAGATATCTACCAACATATATAAACAAATATGGCTAGTTTGCTGTAAAAGTATACATCAGAATAGACCTCTCACGGATACATACACTGTTATAACCCTGACTCACCCTCCTACACATCACATTAGTACAGCTAAATATAACAAATGGGAAACTTTGTTCCCCACAACTAACATATCTACATTATAAATAGTTAAACTAAATCTAGTGGAGGCCGAGTAGCCCACTCTAGTAGAGCTTTAGGCCGAGGATAAATTAGTCCTAGCTGTAGGTCCCTGTAATAATTCATGTAGCCCATTTATATAATGTAACGCATAATTATTCAATAAAGACCGTGGCCAGGCCTCACTCTTAAAAAAAAAAAAAAAAAAAAAAAAAAATGAAACGAAAGTTTTAATATGAATAGGGGGTGATGCAACTACGGTGGTGCTGTTAGGGAGATCTCAATAAGGATGGTGAGGTAAAAGCGGACGATGATCAAGTGATATCAGCGGTAACTTTAAGGACTTTAAGAACACGTTAGGGATTAACCAAGTTTAGTAACCGATCGTAAGTCTCTAATGTGAATGGCAATATCTGATTCCACAACCGTTCTAGAGTCCGAGTCTTAATAAGCCAAATCGAAGTTGCAAGTCAATTCAGTCATTCAAATTGAGGCGCGAAAAGGTTCATTAAAGTTACAAGTCGAATTCAAAAGACAATACACAAGGGAATATTCAGATAAGCATTTATTCAATCGGAATAGAGCGAGAGATTTATTTATTTAATTATTGAAGGAAAGATGATATCAATGATGAAATGGAAAGTTCTGCTTTATTGCTTGGTTCAGTTGGTCTTATAAATATATTTTAGATTTTGGTTACGTTTATACTCCAACGGCTACGTTTACACTGCTTTCGTTACGTCTACGCAACCATAGCTGCGTTTACTTAGCCATGGGGACGTTTACTCCCCCACTTCTAAGCTTTTTCCTTGTGATTATGCAAGTAACCTATTGTAACCGGTTCAAACGGCTACGTTTACGTACCCACTGTCGCGTTCTACGCGCCTTGAGTAGCATTCATATGATTAAGCCACCAAGCCAATCCATCATTACCATTTTAGTAGAAATTAATAAATCTACTAAAATTGGACATTGTTACCAAAATGGATGGGAATTACTAATAAACCATGTACAAGCGGAAAAGTTACCGACTAAAATATATGTTAGAACAAAAATAAACTAAAATTATAATTCGTACAATAACTATTTCCAATTATTTTTCTAAAATTTTTTAATTGCATGTGATATTTTTATTTAACTAAACGTTTTTGTTAAATAATTAAATTATTCAAATGCAGAAATCATTTTTTCTCCATCCTTATGTATTGGTTTACTATTTCCCATAAACAACGCTGAAATAAACATTAACGCACTAAATATTGTGAAAAGCACAAAGGTGAATTGAAATGCTAACACATAAGCGTGAATGACTAATAGCCGTGTATCTGGTGGTAATGATTGTATAGTATATACAGATTGTGTTGAAAAAGATGGAGGTAAAGTTAAAGTACTTAATTCTTGAGAAAGTCTATTATTAAATGCTGTTCCTGCTATTGCAATTCCAAAAACAGCCCCAACTAAAGAGAACAATACAGATAATGAATTAGTAAAATAATTTAATAATTTTGCTATAAAAACTAAACTTTTTTTTTGAATACTTACTGCTCCTAAAGAATAATGATAATGTAGTAGCCGAAGCTATATCCTTCGGCTCAACCAATCCTTGAACGCCTAATGTAACAGCCTGAATGCTTGCACCCATCCCAATACCACCAATTAACATGTATCCTATATATTCACCATAACCAGTATTTTCCCTCCACATAATGAGTAATCCAGCACTGATTATTGCCAATGCCGAAGCAATTAGAGTCACTAATCGAAACTGTATTTTGTCTGTTCGAGAGAATAGTTGACCGGTTAGGATTAGGAAAACTACCACACCAAGAATGTAAGGCATGAACTCTAATCCGGATTGTGTAGCTGTTTAAAAGAAACGTAAGGTTGTTAAATTTATTTGATGTTTAACGAGGAATATGAGATTTAATTGATAGATATACTTGCCTGAATCACCTTTTACAACTTGGAAGTAAAGTGGTATATAAAAAATATAACTAAAGAATACCATTCCTTGGAACAAGCTTGTGAGGAAGCATGAAACTACATTAAGATTTGTAAATAAATGTGCTATTAAACAGAAAAAAATTTTTAGTACCAAAATTATAATAGATTAATTAATATAATTCTTGCAAATAAATCAAGCCATGAATACTTACGTGGAGCAACTGGTTCAGTAACGATATAATTCTCAACAAGACCGAATATTATGTAACCGATTGCACCGACACATAAAGGTATTATAACCACGGGACTATTCCAAGGATAAGTGCTACCGCCCCAATTAAGAGGTAATAAGATACAAACAGTTGACGAGATCATTACAATGGTGCCGATAATATCAACTCTTTTAATTTTATTAAGTAATGAACCAGGTGGTTTTGGTAAATGAAGAAACCTAACTACACCGATTATTGTTATTGCACCTAATGGAAGATTAATGAAAAAACACCATCTATTTTTTTGGGAAAATAAATTTGGTGGTGAGTTTTACGATTAACATAATTTAATGTTAAAACGATAATAATTAACGTTTTTGCACCAAATAGGGAAATCACCCTTGATATGCGTACCTCCAACTGACATGATCAGTAAAAGCACCACCCAAAAGAGGGCCTGCTACGGAAGCAACACCAAAGCATGCGCTAACAATACCCTGGTATTTTCCCTGATCTTTAGAGCTAACAATATCTGTAATTATAATTAAGACGAGACTAAAAAAAAAAGAAAAATAAACAGTAAAAAATTTAGCATGCATAAAAATTTGATATAAATCGATACAGTAATGAAGTACGCACCCAATGATTCCACCACCTCCAATACCAGCGATTGCACGGAATATTATCATTGAAACCTTCAAAAAAATAAAAAATAAAAAATGATGAATATTAAAATTAAGAATTGAGAAATGAAAAATAAAAGATATTGTATATTACCATATTAGTGGCAACACCACATAACAAACTGCCTAATTCAAAGATGGTAATTGCACCTAAGAATGTTGCTTTACGACCAAAAATATCAGATAATTTTCCATAGATTGGTTGAAAGGAAGTCTGTGTCGATAACATGATTCACGTGAGCGTCACATGAGATATATGTAATTCGAACGAAGCGGAATCAAATTTTATTACCGTTGTGAGTAGATAAGAAGTTGCAACCCACGCGATTTGATCCAATCCATTAAAATCTGAAACTATGTTAGGTAAAGCGGTGGAAACTATTGTTTGATCTAAGGCGGCTAAAAATACAGCACATCCTAGACTATAATATGATTAGTAAAACTAAATTAATAATTTGATCATATAATGAGAACAAGAATTAATCTCTACGAACCCAAGAACAACTAAAAATAATTCAACTCCATGTAATAAAGTACCATTAGATGATGGCGAGCTATTGTCATTAATAATTTGATTATCGACATTTTTTATAGTTTTTATGGCTACAGTCGCATCTGATACTAACGTTGCTTGATGTTCAAGATCTACTTCATCATTTGATGGGGATTGATTTTGTGTCATTTTTTTCGTAACTACTAAATTACTAATAATTATGTATATATGCTATGTGTGTTTTGTATGCTTTGTATAGTTGTATGCTATGCTATAATATTAAATTATTTTTAAAGTAATTTTTTTTTTTTGTAGAAATTAAACTGGTAAACTTAATTGACGAAAATTTACAGGGATTAAGTGGAAAAAAGAATCTATAGGACAATTTACATGTCGAAATTCTTTAAAGTCTACATCGTTCGAAACCTTGGTCTTTTATAATTTTCTTTTGGATAAAAAGTATATAGGATGAGACAATTATGTAATGCATGGTTAAATCCATTTGTGAATGACATAATCTAGGGGTTTTTTTTTACACCAAACGTAGTTGGTTCGTGTTAAATGTTTTTCCGTAGAATTAAAGTTTAATTTTAACGATAATTGGTTGTAACAATATTGTTCTGTAATATGAATGTATCACCATGACTACAGTACTAAACAGAAAAGTTGATTAAAATACTTTTGGAATGAATGTCATTTACAATTTAATATGAGCATTTATAAGGTGGCAGCGGTTTATTCTATGCTCCTTGATTGGAAATGAGAATTTATACAATCTATTATTGTTATTTGACAATAATGAGATTCAACTAGGGATGGGCAGATCGGACATTTTTTGAATCTACTGCGCAGGCTGCGCAGCATGCGAGCCTGCAGATTTATGTAATAGTCATGTCACAAAAAAATGGCAGTGACGTGATCTAAATGCCACTCAAACTATATTTCTGTATTCGGGCTATTAATTTTATACTTATAATTCGGGATAAAAAAAATGTTTTTACAAACATTCGTAAGAACTTTTTTAGATCCCGAATAATAAGTTTTAAAATAAATAATCTGAATTTAGGAATATAGTCTGAATGGCTTGTAGATCACGTCACCGCCATTTTTTTGTGACATGACTAATCTACCTGCCAATACCCTACCCGCAGTGTAAGGGCTTGACTCCCCAAACCCTTACCCTTACCCTAGGGCTCAGAGCTTGATACCTTAGCCCGGCATGCAGAAATCTATGACCGGCGGATATTCAAGGGCTTTATATAGCAATAGGTTACAGGAAGATTTTCATATGATTAATTTACATCGATTCTTATAGAAGGATATTCGTCAAAATGGTCGATGAAATTCAATTACCCGAATTATTTACTGTATTTGTTTCACTAATAGAAAATCATCGCAGAAGCCATTTATAACTTTAAAATGACAGATAATGTCAATATCTACTACGCAAAATAATCATGCTTTTGATTTAATTTGCTTAGAAGACAAATACTTTACCGCTTATTATTATTGTTACGTTTAATTATACAGTATTAGGATATATGAATAATCACGAAATTTTAAAAAAAAATTAGTAAGACAATTATGTTCAATGTAAGTTTTGACTTTAAAGAATTTTATTATAACTATTAATTTAGGGAATGTCTATTTCCACCATGAAAATTTACTATTTTCACCATTTGATATAATTTATCATGATAATATGTTCGTCATATTTATGTAGCTGAAATTCATGTGAAAAGAATTATTAATTAAATGTATAAACTTCGCTATAGGGGACCACTCACAACAAAAAAGGGGATTGGTAAATTTCAAATTTGTATAAATTATATTTAAAGTTTGGGAATTACGAAACACGGGAACGATCTATAATGAATTTTTATTAAAAATACAAGCAATAATAATTTTAATTAATATTAGAGTTAAGGTTAGAGGTTAGAGTTTGTAAAAAACAGTTTATAGTAAAATTTTGCAAGAAATTTTTTTTCTTAAAGCCCAAAAGATGGTTTATAATTAAAATTTTAAGATATTAATTTTTCATTTTTTTCTTTATTTTTGTTGTACAAAAAATGATCTGCATGGTGCATATGTTGATTTTCTACTTGTTTTGTGTAACAAGTATTTAAACATCCCGTGTATAGGAATGTTAAATGATCTGTCTGAACTGATCTGACTTCAGAAGTCGAGTCAGTACCAGACTTAGACTTGAGTTTTTAATCACGTGGAGTTGTACAAAATCAGGATAAAGATTACGATAACGATAAAAATAATGATAATTAGATAATATAAATATTTATTTAATAATAAAAAAAATTGAACGAAAAGATACATAGATTTTTTTTTTCTATTCTATCTAAACTATTCTATTCTATTCTATAGTTTCTGATTCTAACCAGCTTTTTAGACATAATGAAGCTCTTACTGTTTGATCAAGGAGATGATTTCTAATAAGATCAATAGTGTTCTTTGCGATAGAGAAAGTTCTCTCACAAGGAACACTAGTAATTTGAAGAGCCAAATAATCTGCCGCCATGTGTGCTATAGTAGGAAAATGAAAAGTATTAATTTTTCACCACAGGAGTAGATCTACACCTTTTTCACAAGATAAAGAAAGATATATAGATAGCTTATTTCCTTCTTCTATTTCATTTCTGTTACCTTCGCTCGTGTATATAAGATTTCTAAAAACACCTAAGAGATCTTTAGATTTAGAGATTATTTCTGAGTTATTTGATACTAACCTATTATTATATAATAAATAAATATCTTTTAATTGGCCAATAGATAATTTACGATCAGTATCATAGAAAGCTTCAAACTTTGTTGACGGATCAAGAAATGTGAAGATAGCTAAAGATTGAGAAAGGTAAACCCAATATTCATTTAATTTATTTTTCATTTTTTTGACTATTTCTTGATATGTATCATGCCTAATATAATTATTAAGATGCGAGAAGAGATCTTGGATGATGATTCGTAAAGAGCCGTAGGAAGATTGTAAGGCACTTAATAAAACTAAAGTCGCCTTATAAAAAGGCTCAAGAAATTGTATCATTTCTTTTATAATTTTCCAATCATTAAGTTCTAAATAATCATCTTTTATATCTGGACGAGATTGAACAAGGCTGTCAGTGACAGATTAGATTTCAACCAGTTGTTTAAGCATCAAGTAGGTAGAATTTTACCTCATATCTACATCAATTTTGAGATGAAGGAATGGTTTTTGTAAGATAGTCGAAATTCTTTCCATTTCTCCTAAAAGTAATGGCGATTTTTTTAATTTTTTACAGAAATTATGGGCTTTTTTAATTTGGTCAAGGTAATTTTTTTGGCCTTCCTTGACTACAAGATTAATAATATATGCTGCGCAACGAATATACATAAAGTTGAGGCTTACAAATTTTTTAAGATAATTTAAACATGTCATATTATTAGACGCATTGTTACCAGTGAAACCAATTACTTTATCTTTGATTTTAAAATTGTTAAGGAGTTCAAGAACATTCCTACCAAAATATTCACCAGTATGGACGTGATGTAATAGAATAAAGTCAAGAAGAAGAGTCTTTAAATTCTATTCATTATTTATCCAATAGACGGTAATATCGAGAAACGTTTGTTGATTACACGCAGTCCAAACATCAAGAGTAAGTGCCAATTTACTTATATTTGCCTTTAAAATTTCTTTTACTTTTAAACTTTCCAAATCAAAATATTTTTTTATATGTGTAGAAATCGTTTAACGATTAGGCAGCTCATAACGTGAATCAAGATTATTAACTAATTTGATAAATGAATCTGCTTTGACCGTTGAAAAAGGTAGTTGTTTAATAATGATCTATTTTAATAGATTATTAGTTAAAAACACAATACGATTTGTTTCAGTAGGTATAGTAGTTGAATAAAACAAAGGACGATTACTTGAGTCTTTTTGAATATCTTTAAAGATAAGTAGATGTTTTTTTTGAAAATGGTATTTTATAGTTGAAATCGATGTTCTTTCAGTCCATTTACTCTTGTATATTTTGCAAACTTTAAAGGCTTCATCACTAAGTTCGTCGCTTAATTTATCAATATATTCACGAACCAGATCAAGCTTTCTTCTAATTCTTAAGCATCTTTTCTTAGAGCAACCACTTTTAGCAGCATGCTCATAATGATCATGTTTATTAGAATTTTTAGAACTAGAATTGATAGAGCCTTTGAGTTCAATATTATTTTCAGTATCAAAATTTGTTACATGAAGGGGATGTTGAATGTCTTCAGAAGATTCAGCAGAGGAATCAGTAATCAAGTAGGGTGTTGTAGACATAATTTAAAATGTAATATTTATTTGAGAACAAGTAAATTGATGGATGAGAAAAGGAAGACAAGAGAGACTTTATATAACTTCTGCAATTTATACAGTATTATTATTAATTTTATTTTTATTGTTTTTTTTTATCTTACATGATTTTAGATATTTACGATTGTTGAAACAATGAATTTTTAAAACCGTGTAAGTCTAGACATACTGCTGGCAATATTATAATTGTTCATACTTAATATATGGAGGCAATAAGGGGAGTGCCAGAAATCACATGATTTATACCATAGATATATGGTTAGGCGAGAGATCATGTACATATATATATATATAATATAGTATATAATCAAATATAATAAAATATATAATATATAAATTATA